TGCAGCCTGCTTCTTTCAGGACCCTGCCCCTGCCGAAGAGGCTGCGGGTGATCTACTTCTTCGCCCGGACCCGGCTGGCCCAGAGGCTCATCATGGTACGCTGTGGGGGGGCTCGTTGTCCCCTTCCCTCTGGGCACCGGCCCGACCCAGACGGGCTGCTGGGATGGGGGGAAAAATCCCAACGTTTTCATGCGTCCTCGTCCCCCTGCAAGAATTGTGCTGCCCCGTGGCAAACGCAGTTCAGGAAATCCTTCCTAAGGCCGTTGCTCTGCGGGCGATCGCTCCAGGGCTGTGCTGCTCGCGCCATGTTTGGGTGCTGGCGGGTAATTTTCTGATATTCGGAGACAAAAATCTGCTTTTCTACAAGGAGATTTTCAAGGACCGCGTGAGTGGGGAGAGAAGGTGTTTACAGAGCAGAAACCGCGTTTCGTTCCTGCGGATAACGCGGGCTAAAGACACGGAGATACTTGGCTACGTGAAAGCGAAGGGTTTTCCTTTTGCAGGCGGAACTGCAGCGGTTACACCGCTTACTGCCCGTGCCTGCCCCCCGATCTGGGTCGTGGAAGCAGAGGAACGCCTGTGTTCCTCGGCTCTGCCAACCGCAGCCCCGTCGCTGTCACCCGACGCCGACGGCAGCTGAAGTTCAATTAATCCATCGTTAACACACCCGCTGCCTGGTGGTGTGGGAGAAGCGGGGTTCCCACCCTCGCGCCGAGGCCGCTGGCTCCCGGGAAGACCGGGCTCCGGTTTTGTGAAAAAGCGAGCCCTACCCGTCCTCTTAGAGCACAAGTGTCTGCCGGGAGCCGGGGTGCGGGGCGTGCCGGCGCTGGGAGGTGTTGGGGTGACGGTTTTGGACTTGATGAGCTTAGAGATCTTTTCCATCCTTAACGATTCTACGGTTCTGTGATGCTGTGGGACGCTGCCGAGCGGCTCAGAGGTGTCGCAGGCGGCGTGCGAAGGCCGGGTGCTAACCGAGTTTGTCTCTTCGCTCGTCGTGTGTAGGCTGGGACGGTGATCTGGATTGGAATCCTGGTTTACACGGATCCCGCTGGTCTCCGCACCTACCTCACGTCGCAGGTCACTGAACAGAGTCCTCTGGGTGAAGCAGGTCTGCCTCCCATGCCTGTTCCTGGCGGGGTCCTGCCTGCAGGGCACCCCAAGATGGATCTCTCGGTCTTCCCGTCGGACCCGCTGGAGCTGTCGGAAAACCAGACGCAGCAGCGTGAGCAGAAGTCGGGGCTGGAGACAAACCAGCACACTTGGGCCCAGGGACCGGAGGGCAAAGGGAACGGACAGACGGAGCTTGGAGCTGAAGCAGAGGTTACCTGGGGAGCGGAGGACGAGGAGATTTGGAGGAAGCTTTCCTTCAGACACTGGCCATCTCTTTTTGGCTACTACAACATCACTCTGGCCAAAAGGCAAGTGGGCTGGCAGCGAGCGCCGGGAATTCCCTGTGGGATTGGCTCCAAGCGTCTTCCTTTCTCCTGTCCTTCATCCTTCTGGGTTAAACAATTTGTATTCCACGTGGCTTACTCCAGCTGTGTCTTCAGGAGGAGAGTATTAAGCAGGCCCTCCTACCTGCTTGGTGGTGGTGGCTTGTGGTGCCGAGGTGCCAAACTCTCCAGGACCCTTTCTCTGAGAGTAGGGGTTGAGTTCCACTCTGGCGCTCGTGGGTGTAAGACTTCCTTGTCATCCTCCTTCACCCTAGAGGCGACGTGTAGGGTTTTGTAAAGCAGTATATGATCATCTGTAACTGGATGGTGCGTGTGGGGAACAGAGACATCTGAGCTGGAGGAACTTCGTGGTGAGATCTTCTGGCCTGCGGGGTACGGGAAGCTGGGCCAGATGGTTATATCCTTACTTAAATCTGTGTGATCCGTCTGATCTCATCAGCAGTTCGTTCCACTGTTGGCCGTTAGCCTCTCCCACAGAGTTAAGGGTTAAGACGTGGGAAATAGTGAGGCCTCATCTGCAGTGCTGTGTCCAGTTCTGGGCTCCCCACTTCAAGAAAGATGAGGAGCTACTGGAGAGAGTCCAGCGCAGGGCTATGAGGATGAGGAGGGGACTGGAGCATCTCCCCTACGAGGAGAGGTTGAGGGAACTGGGCTTGTTCAGCCTGGAGAAGAGAAGGCTGCGAGGGGACCTTATAAATGCCTACAAATATCTGCAGGGTGGGTGTCAGGAGGATGGGGCCAAGCTCTTTTCAGTGGTGCCCAGTGACAGGACAAGGGGCAATGGGCACAAACTGAGGCACAGGAAGTTCCGTCTGAACATGAGGAAGAACTTCTTCCCTCTGAGGGTGACGGAGCACTGGAACAGGCTGCCCAGGGAGGTTGTGGAGTCTCCTTCTCTGGAGGTATTCACGCCCCGC